CCATATACATATTCATACAGATACCTATATCTACATATCATCTGCAAATAGTCACTACTGCATTATTGTCAAACTACTAAATATGCTTAGTAAGTAAAATGTAACAAGTTATTAAGCTAAAAATCTAGTTTCTGAAAATTTTACCTGGTGTTTTGTCACATCCAGTACAAACCAACGGGGTTTCCAACCTTTTAACAGAGCTCCTCTTTTGTAAAGTGTACCTTCAAATGACCTTAAAAGGTAAGGAGAAGTGTTACCAAAAAGATTTAATATGTGAATGTTGATTTTATATCCTGAACTCCATGGCACATAGGACAGACTGAATTTTTTCAGTCACAACTTTTATTTAGTATTTTATTTCAGGTATAAACATAAATAAGATAAATCACTCAGTGCTGTGAGCCCACTCAAGAACACCATAATTTCTTTCGGGATGAGACAGCTGTAGACTGCCTCATATAAACCTCATTTTACTTTTAAGTATTAACAACATGATTATTCTGATTTGAAGGTAGAGAAAAGGGACAAAATACAGCTCAGCATAATCAAAAACTGTGACTGGCAGCAAAAAAGCAGCAGAAAACTTAAGGTATATAGGATCATAGGAAAGCAGGGCTAGTAGGGACCTCACAAGGTCATCTATCTAGCTCCCTGCTCAGGGCAGGTTCACCCCGACCCTTGGCGACGCGTAGGGGGTGCATGCAGGTGCACGTGCACCCCGAGCTTGGCGGTACATCCCCTGCAAAAAGTGCTGCCAACAATGCTGGTGGTGCCTGTGGGCAGTCGCCACTCGCCACCCCCCTCCACCGACATCATCCCCATTGGCCGCCGTTGCTGCTGCTGGTGGCGTCTGTGGGTGGTCACAGACTGCTGGTTGGCACTTGCCCTTTTCTAACTTTTCTAGGTAGCCTGTTCCAATGCTTGACCACCCTCATAGTCAGAAATATATCCATAATATCCAACTTAAATTTCCCATGATGCACTTTGAGGCCATTGCTCATAACCCCATCCCCTACAGCCACAGAGAAGTTTATCTTTATCCTCTTTAGAACTGCTCTTCTGGTATTTTGAAGACATCAAATCTCTTCACAGTCTTCTCTTGCTCAGTGTAAATAACGCTAGTTCTTGCAGCCTTTCCTCATAAATCATGTTTCCCAGGACTCTAATAATTTTTGTTACTCTTTGTTGGCCTCTTTCCAAACTGTCCACTTCTTTTTCGAGGTGTTGGGCCCAAAACTGAATGCAGTACTCCACATGAGGCCTCACTAGCACCAAATTAAAATTCAGTTTTTAAATTGAGGGAAGACAAATGCACATTTCTACTATACTCCCCATCATTATATTAGCTGTTTGATTCCTTGAATTTATCTGACTTTAATAGTATGAAATACAGTAGTAAATTGCTAGCCTACTGAAGATAAAGTTTCAGAATGATCCAACAACTACCCAGTTTACCTATTTTCATCATGCTTTGATGTGAACTGATTGTATAATGTGGTTGCTCTTCTGTCCACTCCATTAGAGGGAGTAATGCTCATACTTTGTTCTTCACCCAGTCCACTGTCAGGAAGATGCAACAAAGACCTCTTCTGATAAGAATGTATATTAGCAGATAATATCCCTGAGGAGCCAGAAGGATGTCTCCGAAGCTAAAAAGAAAAACGTACGCTTCAACTAAGGATTTTAGCCATGTTTCGAACAGAATAGCTCTCTAAAATTTGATTACCTGATGAATTAACAATCAAATTATCAAATGAATACATTATCAGAAGTATTTCAGCCAAAATTTCCCCAAATCCACAACTCTTCTTGCTAATCCACATTGTCCATTACTAGCACAGACAGCTATACAGCTTGAATAGCCAAAAAATGAAGTTAGTCTCATCACCAAGACCTAATTATTTTTCCAAAATATACCACATGATATCTCCTTATACACAATGCTATTATTATTAACAAAAGCTATTCCAGTAAAATAAATTTGCAAAGTATATTTTTTAAATGTGTGTCATATTCATTAACTGATTAATTAGTGAACTTCAGGAATGCTTCTTCCAGCCATTAGTTAGAATTAGTAAGAAGTTATTGTTTATTCATTCCACTCATTCATAAACATAATTCAACAGTGACTCAAAAATAGTCTGAAGAATACAGAGGCCAACGTTTAACTTTTAATTGCACAAAGCAAGCTGTATTGATTAGCTCTTGGTGAACTGCCTCATTTTAGAACCCCCTTTTATACAAATCTACATTTAAAGGTCATGTCCTTTGATACAGAGGATCTTCCAGCTTTACTCTGAGTGTTTTGACTAGTTCTTAGATAGCAGCACTAACAGCAAATGGATAACTGAATACTTGAAAAATAAAGAGTTGCTAAACCTTTATTTTTAATTCTGAGATTCCTGGCAAGGATAAAAGTGACCACAATGATTGAAGAATGTGTCAACCTTTTTTCTACCGAAAAATTCTGACTTCACATGAACTGCACATTACAGATGACTCCTGTATGCACATTTAAAAGTATTTGCTCCCAGAGATTACTGTGAACTTAAAAAACTAACTGGTTTTCCTGCACCTACAAGTAAACAGTTTAATACAGTGGAACCAATCTTTTTGGCAAGCATACCAGTGTAAACCACACCCCTTCCCTAATCTGCTGCCTTTCTCCCTATACCTCCCTAATCTGATGTCTTTTTTTCTGCCTCCTCCCCGCTCTGCCATGTGCCAAAAACACAGAAGCAGCCTCTGCCACAGGTTGGCCACCTCTGATTTAACAGATCGTCAGAAAACTGCCCTGTAATTCTGCTTCTCAGATCTGAATTTATAAACTTTTACACTTTAACTCCTTTGTACAAAGTTAGCAGAATTTTATCAGTTTCTGGAGGTCAGTAGCAGCAGAGTAGAGGATATGGCAGGCAGGATGTCCGTTACTGGACATTGTGTATGGTTCCCAAAAGGCACATATATTACCCTCCACATATTCCAGGCGGGATGTGGTATGATATCAAACAATGGTGTGCCTTGTGCCCACAAAGATCAAAGTAATTTAGAAGCTGTGAGAGTCACACCAATCTTGCACTAAAAATCTAGGAGTCAAAAGTGAGAATCCTGGTGGATGGTACTTTTAGAGAGTCTGTTCACAGTGTTATTTTACAGAACTACACTGTGATGTAGTGCTTTATAAAGTGTTATGCTAAAGCACTGAGGTCAACCTTTTTGGCAGTTATGTCTCAAAATTAACCCAGAAGGACCCTTCCAATCCCTTTCCCCTTGTTGATCTGTTTCTTTCCTTTCTGCTCCCTGCCCCATGCTTTTTGACCAAGCTGCTGCTCTTGTGTCTGCTCCTTGCCCTATCTACCACTATTCTGTTAGTCCACTTCTCAGTCAGCTGTATGTCACACACAGAGGCTGCTTGTGCCACCTGTGACACCCGTTCAACAGGTTGGCCAACCTGTGCTAGGAAGCAGAGTAGTAGATTTTCAGATTCAGTAGTTATGCTCTTGAACAGCAGATATTTAATGAAAAGTATATATAGTGATTTTAAATAACACCATGCTTTAAACAGATGGGGCGCATACACACATGCAGGCACATGAGCTTGCAGCAGCTCAAATAGAAGCGGTGCCAATTTGAGCCGGGGCTTTTTGCCTTAGCTCATGTGCCTGGACATGCACTTTGCTGTGGAGCAAATTGTACCACCTGCGGCAAAATAACCCTGCTTGGCTCCTCCCGGATCTGCAGCCAGGGGGAGCTAGAGCCCAGGGCCAGCACCTGTACTGGCCTCTGCACTATAAAAAGCTGCCCTAGCAAGCAGCTCAGGGCTACTCTCTCTCAGGAGCTTCTGGGGCCCAGCCAGTTGGTATCTGGGGACACTACCCTTTGTGCCAGCTGAACTGCTGCAGCAGTATCCCAAATCCATTTTTAAAAATGCCCCAAAATCCGTGTTCTTCCACAATTAGAACAAAAGACCACTCTACACACACACACACACACACACAGAGAGAGAGAGAGAGAGGGCTTGATCATTTGGGCAATGGTTTATGGTTTATTGGTATATTTAACAATGGTAAAGCAATTTGGAAGCCTACCAATGTCTCTATCATTATAATAAAATTAATTCTAAATATCTATATGTGTGAATGTATGCTTTTGGCTTTCTTTGCACATGATGGGTGCATAATGGGGGGATGTGGAGTTTGCAGGAAGGGGCTGGGAAGGGGTGTGGGAGAAGGCAGGTGGGTGTGTGGGTGGGTGTGAAGGGGACCATGTGCCAAGCAGCACCGGGTCCTGCCTCCATGGGACCGGGCTGGCCTGGCAGTGTGAGCAGCCCCAGTGCTGGCAGGACCCAGCACGGCTCGGCACATGGTCCCTGCATGCCACGCCGAGTCCAGCCTCCAGCAACAGTGCTGCCTGCCCCACTGTGCAGGTGTGGAGGTGGCGCATGGCAGGACTTGGGCCAGCGTTGGGTGACTCACTAATCCAGCTTTGCACCAGAGTGGGTCGCATGGCTTCTGTGCAAAGGCACAGTAGCTGCATGGCCTAGGCCAGATTGGGAGCATTTTCCAATGAGTCCCACTGGCCCAATCTGACCCAAGCAGCTAGTGTGCCTTTGCACAGGAGCTGTGCAACCCGCTCTGGTTCAGAGTCGGATTAGCAAGTCGCACGGTGCTGGGCTGGGCCGGGTCCTCTCACACGCCACCAGCTCTGGCCACTTGCCCCCTCCTGCAACCCCCCACCACCCCACGACCCTGCCACATGCCTGCCCCCCCATCCGGCCCCAGTGGCAGCAGGCAGCGTGGCTGTGGCTCTGCTGCAAGCATAGGCAGGCAGTGTGACCCAGACTCCTACATGCTGAATGGACCCAGCCCGGCCTGGCCCAGCCCATCCAAGGCTGTGCACTAGTGAGCCAGGCCGGGTCCATTCAGCATGTAGGAGCCTGCGTCACTCAGCAAAGCGACACTGCCCACTGTGCCTGTAGCAGAGCCACAGTCATGCTGCCTGCTGCCACTGGCGCCACAGGGGCTGGGTGGAGGGGGGCAGGTGTTTGGCAGCCCCCGCTCGAGCCCCTCCATGTCCCCCACCAGGACATGCTCCCCCCACCACACCTCATCCCCTTCCACTCCCCATAGCCCCCAAGAACCCTGTTTGCTCCCAAACCCCCCTAACATCTCCCTGCCACCCCTCACACACTCACACCCTCCCACTCCCATTACCTAACTTACCTTGGACAGTGCTGGGGAGCAGCAGGAGTACCACAGAGATACTCTTGCCAAAACCAGAGCTTCTCTTCTGGAGGACTGACTCCTGTGTTTGCTCCAGGCATGGTCTAGGACTGTGCCTTGCCCCACTGTTCTGCAGAATGTTTTTTTTTTGACCCCTGGATATCCAGGGAGGTTAATTTTGTTCCTGCGCTGCAAATTTGCAGCATGGGGGACATTTTTCCATTCCCACATGTGCCTCTTTCAGCGTCTCAAAGGGGTTTGAGATGCTGCAAGAGGCACATGTGCGCTCGTCTGGACGCACCCATAATGTTTTGTTTGCTGCATAAAATGCTTAACTATCATAACAGTATTCAATAGTCCTATCTAAACATTCAATATTTCCACCAAAAATATATTACTCACTGTTTGAGCTGGCTTTTATTATTTGCTAAGACCTAGAAAGTGCTAAGTCATGTACAGAACACAAAGGATGAGTCTTACCTAAATAAATAACCAATTTATACCAGTTAAAGATCACGTCCAGAGTATGCAAGGTCCCTACCCTGATTCTAATCTCTGGGTCCAGAACTGTACTGTGTGAGTAACTTCTCTAGTCTCATTAACATCCATGGGACTATTGTTATGAGTAAAGTACACTTATATATATATGTTTATAGCATCAGGTCCCAAAAGGTTTTTACAAAATTTAATTTTACACCTTTACATATTATTAAAACTTTAGAATTTTTGTGCATGCTTGTCTATTTGTGAGAAGCAGAAACAATAAAAAGCATCTGAATACATATTTTTCCACCTGAAGCAATATAGGGCCAGTAGCATGGGTTAGAACAACACATTCAGTTTTTAGAAGGCAGTGATTTATTCCAACAAATACAGTGATTTTGATAATATCCAAGCTAACCTCTATAGCTGGGACAGAATTATTATTCTACTGGCTGATCTCTTCTATTACTTACATTGTCTTGTCTGGTATCATCTTTAAAATTCACTTTGACCCTTTCCCACAAAAGCTGCCACCTTTCTGGGTTTTGATTTAATTTATTCTCCAATCTTTCAATTTCCTGAAATCAATAAAATAGGGAGTTTTTCTCAGGATAAACATTTTTAACTGGTTGCATCTTAAACAGTCAAAATTCATCATCACTTGCTATACGGGAAATATGGTAACACAAGACTTGGATATATTTTATAAAAGTATTTACACAGAGCAGCTTCAATACCGTGACATCAATATTAAACATTGCCAACATTAACATTTACCTTGGTTTTTAAAATGCGATATCAAATCTTAATAAAAGAAGGAAATGAACAGAAAGACTTATTCAATGTGGATGTTAAACTAACAACATGTTCTTGTGGTGAAACTTGTGATATGACCTTTCTTAGTAGTTTCTAGTGAGGAATATTTCCTGTTAATAAATAAAAAATAACTCACCTAGCTTATATTTACTTGCGAAGCAGCCTAAATATACTATATAATAATATGTACTCTATATCCAACTTTCTGTCTTTGGTACTCTGTTTTTCTGCATAGTTATTACCAGCAGCAGATGTCTCTATCATGAAAATCTGATTCCTAGTTCAACCATATTAGCATATTGTCCTTATAAGTCCTTTCAAATTCCAGGCTAGTCAGCTGAGTGATTCTAGGGATAGCTAAGATGATCCTGTATGGGTTAAGTAGTTTAACCAAAAGCTTAAGCAAGTCAAATTAATTAGGCCATCTCAAGTATTCATCTCCTTGCTTTATCTTTTGTATGGTCTTCCCTATCGGTAGTAATGAGATAATGATACCTCCCAAGGATCACAACCTTGACATAGTGGAGAGGTTTGTGGGCTATCAGTGACCCCAAGAGCAATGCTGTTTAATGTTTCATAGTCCTGGTAGAGTTACCCATTGAGGCAAAGTTGAGAATAAAGTTTCCAGACTAATACTGATCCAAAAACAAAACTAAAAGTTCTCTACAGTTAAGCTGGCAGATGAAGAAGCAATACTTCACAATGGCAGATGAAGGCTTCAGCATATCAGAAACCTCCAGTTCTCTAGGTTTCCCTTGCCATGGGTTAAGGTTTCCTTCCCCGTAAGTATTGTGTGGTTGCTGATGTGCAACAGCATCCCCACATTAAAAGATGGTATGCACAGATGTCTTCCTTAACTAGTGTCCTCGTATTAAGGGACTGCCATCCCCAGCAGTAATGATGGGCAAATGATTATGCTGAAATGAATGGGTCATGTGCATAAAATGGTGTCTGCAGTCTGCCAGTTACCTTTTAGAATTCCTTTTTGTTGAAAACCCATTTTGAGGGTTCCCCTTTGATGCTTATTTAGTTTGGCTTTTCAGACCCTGCTCCTGGGTTATAACTCTTGAGAACAGAAAATAATTTTACAAAGACATTATTTCTACTGCTTCCATGTTGATTGACTGACTATTCCTTTATCTTTACTCATTTAGGCTATATGACTTTGCTGCACAGTTAAATTGAGTGAACTCGGGTCTGAATTTGCCTAATTAGCTGTGAGCCGCCATACTGCAAATCCATACTTGAGTTATTGTATCTTTACTGCTATTTGAATCACTCATATAAAGCCCTAAGATCTCTAAGTTCATACCACATAGCTCTTAGCAGTAAAGTAAGTTGAGCCACTCCATGATTCTTTATCAATAAATTGTGGAAGAACTTGTCTGCCCTTCTGGATACACAAGGAGAATCACATGAAGGCATTAGAGGACTATCAGAACTCCAGTTGAGCATTTATCCTGACTGTTTTAGTTTATACCTCAGACTAAGCCAGCTAGCTCAGATACAGTGCTGTGTGAGTGAATAGGTTGGGACTCTTTGAATGTCCATAACTCTGGAATTGTCTGAATGCATTCCTCCTGATTGGGTAGGAATCTGTATTTCAGATGCATAACAGGGTAGCTCTGCACTCTAGGCAGCACTGGC